AAAGGAACGGTAAAATTTTAAATCAATTTATTATTTCAAAAAATTTTGAAATAATGTTTTCGAATCTTTGCAAAAATTCAACAAAATTTAATTTAGCTTATGTGAACTTTGGTCGAAACCAAAAAAAAAAAAAACATGAAGAAATGAAGTTTTGCAACTTTGATTAAAACCAAAAAACAAAAGAACGGTAAAATCTTAAATCAATTTATTATTTCGAAAAATTTTGAAATAATGTTTTGAAATTTTTGCAAAAATTCAACAAAATTTAATTTAGCTTATGTGAACTTTGATCGAAACTAATAAAAAAAAAAAACATGAAGAAATGAAGTTTTGCAACTTTGATTAAAACCAAAAATCAAAAAGAAAAAATTTTACTTATTCTTTTAATCTTGGAATTTCTCATAATTAGTCTTGTAATATCTGTCAAAACATTATTACTTTAACCTTTTTATCCATTATACCAACCTTTTATGTTGAAATTTTTTTTTTGTAGCCAATTTTTATGAATTATTTCAATATTTTTTTTGGGAGAAAAAAAATATAACTCATAAAATGATGAACTTTACCCGTATTATGGTGAATTTGAGGTAATCAATAAATCATCCATTCCGTGCTCATTGCAAAAAAATTGCAACTTGAAACTATCATTAGATTTTTTTTTCCGTTTTATCCAATTTTTATTTCAAAAAAAAAAAATGATTCAAGATTGCATATAATCTTCATGATCATGATATGATTTTGTTTCCGATATATGTAGTAAGAATAACTTGAACCATATATTTCCGATTTAGTTATCAGTTTCAGATCCGGAAGGAATTGATCAAATTTTAGTGACAAATAATACTAATGAATAGGAGGAAACGAATAGTACTAGTAGTATATTTGTGTCATTTGTTGGCTTTTTTTAAAGCTAACGAATTCATCATTTGCTAATGCTACGATGACTAAGTAAGTAACTAAGGATACCTGTAGCTCGGGGTCAATACCTGTAGCTCGGGGTCAAATGACCATTAATTTTCGTATTGTTGCATTTATTGTACAGCAATAATTGCTTTCTCCAAATACGGTTTGAAAAAATTATGATCATCAATAGTAATAATACTATTTAAATAGTGTCATACTTATGTGTCACATGATTGTGACATGTGTGAAATTAAAATTAATTCCATTTTTAAAGTTTTCCCATTAATTATTCAAGTGTATAAAAGTTGATTCTATTAGCATCTTATCATTATCAAATTGTATGATTTGATACATCGATATCAGTAATTCCATTTGGCTTGCCGTATTACATATATCTTGGTATGTTACCTGGATTGAACTTAAGATATGCAGTAGGCTTCATACCTGGCATGTATAGCAGCAATCTGTTTAATCGTAAACATCCATTGATAAACATTAATGGGACCTTATTAGGTATAAACGAATGCTGCTACTGTACCTTGTCTTGTCCTCATTAAATAAAATATAAATTTTATGATTGAATGAATAATTTGAACGATTTTAACGAAGTAAAAAAAAAAAGATTATTTGTCCACTTATTGAAAATATCATTCGAAGACTCGAAGACAAATGCGCATTTCTGCAACGATACTTATTGGGATTATCATTCGAAGACAAATGCGCATTTCTGCAACGATATTGTTGAAATTATCATTCGAAGACTCGAAGACAAATGCGCATTTCTGCAACGATATTTGTTGAAATTATCACTCGAAGACAAATGCGCATTTCTGCAGCGGTACTTATTGGGATTATCGCTCGAAAACTCGAAGACAAATGCGCATTTCTGCAACGATACTTATTGAAATTATCATTCGAAGACAAATGCGCTTATTTATTAGGATCATCATTCGAGGATAAATGCGCATTTCTACTACAACAATACTTATTGCAATGATTATTTTTCACCTTCGTTGAATTCTCTCCTATTTGCTTATTTGGAAAATAATAAGTGAAGAAAACAATTTTTTTTTCTTTTTTCTGGTTTTCCATTTTTTTTTTCGTACTATTTTTGGAAACAAAAAACTGGAATTGTCAAATTGTGGAATTGAATTGATAAAAGAAGCGATTGAAAGACAAATGTCCACTTATCAAAAATTATCATTGACTATGACAAATGCGCATTTTCTACCAATGGTTCTTTTTTTTTTTTCTTTTCTTCTTATTGGAATGAAAACGATAATTTACCGAAATAATATCATTTATCATTTTTATTACAATTTTTCATTTATTCATTTGGAAAATATTATTAGAAGAGGTAAAAAAGGAAGGAGAAAAAACAGTTTCCGTTGTTTTTTTCTTTTCTTCATTATGAAAATTAAAATTAAATTTTTTAAATTTAAAAAAATAGGAAAAAAAAATTTGGTTAAGTAAAAATAAATGTTTGGATGGTAAAATTATATCGAAATCGAATTGCACTTTAATGTTTGTGTAATTTGAAATTGATGGACGAGAGAGAGAGAGAG